ACAAAACATACACAAATTATATTAAATCGAATAATTAAAGATCATAATGAAATTAAGTATTATCCAAATTACAGAAGTAATTGAATAGAAGTAGCTAATAAACGTACCCATTATTTCACTAACTGGAGCCACTTTCAAGCTACTTCCCATTACAATCAACAAGTCAACTTTTTCGCGGTCTTTGGGGAAGCATTGGTCAAATTCAGGAGGTAATTTCTCACCAAAGAAGACAATATCAGGTTTCATAATAGATAAGCATTCTTCCACGTCTTCTCCCTTATACACCTTTTTACACTTGGGGCAACGAGGTACTCGTTGATGAAGTATATCATCTTTGATTTCACTGCCATCGACTTTGTATTCACATACTATACAACTGGCGGTTGCAAAAGATCCTACATAATGTGACATTTATAATTAAATTTCAACTGAATTAATAAGATTGAAGGTGTAATCTCAAATACGAATACCATGACATTGTAGGACGTTCTTAATTCCAGCAGCTTGTTCCAGGGTATCAATGTTTTGGGTGTAATTTCTTAAAAGCTTTCCTTTTTCTTCCAATAATTTAATAAAATAGTGTGAAGGAGATGGCGTGAAATTACTGGGGTATATTTCCTGTTAAGTATAAAAGAAAAAAAAGTTATATTGCCAAAATGTAATCAAACGTGGACATAATGAATCAAATTACTAAAAAAAATAATACCTTGGCGAACGAATAAAAAACATCAGGACAATCTCTGAAGTAATTGATGTCAAACATATCCTGTGGGTCATCCAAGTCAAATTCTGACAGCCGAGAATAGATCCCATTCTCGGAACGAAAGTCCGGTATTCCACATGACACGGAAACCTGATAAGTTCTATGCACATTAATTTCATATAAAGTTTATTATGTCTAGTTAGTAGTAAAAACAAAAATATAAAATCACAACCCACCCCTGCACCTGTCAAGACCATGATATTTTTTGAATTTCGTAATAATTCAACAACTTGTTCCAATGTATTAATATGTGGCAGTTTTTGCCGTTGCCGTAAGAACTTTGCAACAATCTTATGGAGAACTGGAAGTAATTGCATATCTGGGAGGTCATTAATTCTTCTTGGCTATCGTAAAATTAACAATGAAATCAAATAAATAAGCGAACAAAAAATAAGGCATCAAGATTAATATAAATTTGGCATTTTACAACTAACCAATTTATAATCGAATGCGTAAAATAACTTCCGAAGGGGAATATGTTTTTCAAGAAAGTATTCTTGAATGAACTTCTGAGTTCCTGAATTTACAAATGAGATGAATACATAAATCGATGAGATTTTGAAATGCATAAATTTGCCTGTTAAAGAAGAAAAAGTTGTAAATAATAAATAATACCTTTTTCTTTAGCTTCTTGTTTTAAATGCTCGCATTCATCATCATCCAAACATGGAAGATCTTTCAGAATCAAGTATAACTTGTGTAAAACATCATATTATGAGAAAAATCCAGACATAAACACGGTAAAAAATGTACTTTGATCTTCCTCGTCTAGTAATTGTTCTTCTTCTTCCACAATTTGGTCGTTGACGTGATTTAGATGGTCAATAATATCTTCTGTAATTTGGATAATACTTAATTTCATTATGATCTTTAATTATTCGATTTAATATAATTTGTGTATGTTTTGT